AATGGTCCAGCCAAATCCAAACGTTTATTACCGTAATGATCCCTGTCATCTAATTCTCTTCTGCCGAGTGACGCCAATAACAATCTGTGAAACATGTATCTAAAAACACAATAATTTAATAAATACATTAATACAAGTATTAATATGCACTGACCCCAAGAAATATGCTTTTTTTGTTTCGCAGAAATCGGAAACACCGACATGAGGCAACATTTCTTTTTGCAGAATTTCCCTAGCATATTTAATACGTTTTTCCTTCGTAACTCCAGGCCTAGCACCCCTGGCTCCAATGAAATTCAAAGCGACGCTTTGTTCTTGAATAACGAAGGCTTCATCCAAAGATGGTTTGACCATTTCCATCATTTCTGGATCGTCGAAATCATAAATAATATGTTCGAGGATATCGCGATCGGCGACGAAGCCCAATGCGCGAAAAACAATTATAATAGGAATTTCCTGTTTAATGTATGGTAAAATTGCTATGATTCTCTGACCAATAGCTGCCTTCTTTGTAGCTTGACCACCTCTAGCCATCATATTAACCCATAATGCAGAAGTTGGTCTTGAACTGTGTTCCAAACACGAACGGATTTCAGCTTTGAAAGCGTATTTTCCGTCCTTCATTGCAAAAACGTAAACAGTATTTGTAGCCATCTTCTCCTGAGCAATAAGTACTTTCTCTGAGCCGTTAATAATAAAATAACCACCTGGATCCAAAGGGCATTCATTCAACTCAGTCAAATCACGATCCGTTAGACCGCTGAGCAAGCAATATGTTGATCTCAACATAATGGGAATTTTTCCAATAAATGTTTTTTGATGTTGAGTTTCTATAGGATCTTGACCATCTCTAACAATGGTTTTTATGATATCAACATACAGTGGAGCAGAATATGTAAGATTCCTTAAACGAGCCTCATTGGGCATCATAGGGGATGGTGCACCATCCTTTTCCCAATGTGTTGGTTTTGATAAATAGATTTGTTCAAATTTCAATAAATATCTTGGCTAAAATTAAGTAATTATAGTGCTAAATTCAAAATGAGAAAAAAAAACTATTATTTACAGGATTTTCAATCCCTCCAGATGTGTGTTGAGCTTCTGCTTGCAAGTCAATCTGTGGGGAATCCTCAACAATTCTCTGTATGGACATTTGAATGAACTCATCAAAACTGTCCAGCTGTTGACGGACCAAACCTTTCTCGTCAAAGTATGCGTTAATGACGATCCAGCAGGCCTCTTGCCACAGTTCAGAGCTGATTACTCCCCCATCTTCATCTTCATAATTATCTATAGCAATAATGTTTAAGGTTAAATTGCTAAAGCCATTGAACGAAATATGGGATTAGAAAATAAACGATATACCTTCATTATTCTCATACATATTTCTGTTGCACGTAAAATATTATTAAATTACAACAATACACAACAATTACTACTACACCTGTTCACTGCCGCTTCATATTCTTTGTTTTTTGTCTTTTAAACTAAGCCGCAGAGCCGTTGTCAATTATGATAAAAGAAATTTCAAAAAAAAAAATTGAAAATTTTACATTATTTGTACATTAACAGTTATTACCAGTTATTAGAAATAAAACAAATAATATAAATAAGTTGTCAATTGTTTAACTTAGAAAAAATTACTAACTGAGCGTTAACTAGATTTGAAAAAGAAGTATTCTTTTTAAGAAACGTTAGACATTTAAGTTGAGAAACAAACCTTATAAATAAAGGAGATTTTAAAATTTAAAATATACTTTACATTTATTTTATTAATTATTATATACTTACTTAAAAGAAACTTACGAACGGTCCATTGCATAAAAAAAAGAAGTTATTTATATATTTTTTTTACTATGAAGTCATAGTAAAAAATAATTTACATTTAGTTTTTCTTTCAACATATATATTATAGATATAAATAGAAATATAACACATTAATTACATGTCTTGTATGAATATCACAATAGGAACTATCAAAAAAATATATCGTTTCTAATTAATTAACCAAAAGAGAATAATTCCAAACAGGTAAACCATATAATTTGAAGCCGATTGTTGAATACCTTTGTTCAAGCTGAAACTGAATCTGCTTTTCTTCTTGCCTAAAAATTTGAATAAAATTTCATTAATATTTAGATTAACAAAAAAATTATTCGACATTCATTACTTTTTTCGTTGGGATCACGAACTCCGCACAGTTTATACGAAATTTTCGACTTTCTTTTAGCATCGTAGAAGCCCGGAATATAAAGGGTTGGAGATTCCAATCGTCCTGTTGACAACAACTTATTAAAGTCCTGCTCCAATCGACTGGCTATCGGACCCTTAAAGTGCATCAGGAATTGGACGCACGAGTAACTGTGCAACATGCGAGTCTTTCTTGTATCCACAGTTAACATCCACTCGGGTATTCCCATCACTCGACGGACATCTTCAATAAATTGCGCTCTAAAATGAAAATGAGTATTATTAATATGGAAATAGATAAAAGTTTGTACTCACAGAACAAAACGTGGTGGCTTTTCTATGTTTGCGTATTTGATTATATTGTAATCCGCTTCAATGTTGGCACATGCGTATCTTTGTGGTTGTTTGTTAGGGCTCATAATTACAATGGACCTTCCCATCGCTGTGACTGGACCTTCCAGAGGGAAGTTAGAATCAGTGAAGACTTTCCTTTTCAAACCTATATCGATGGTACCAAGCCGTCCAGACATATCTCCTACGTGACATCTCAAAGGATTTTCTGGTCCACATTCTTGTCGGTACAAATCTTCCTGAAATGTAATCATCTACTTAGATTTAATCATTTTAATTATTTAAAACCTACGTTTAACGGATCCGCAAGTTGCGTGTAGTATGGGTTCCAAACGTAACCACCAGCAACGCATCTTGTGTTTTGCGTCTTAACAGCAGCGTCCACTCCAACGGGATTCACAAAAATCGCCCAATTATGGTCGCGCGTCATATTACGGTCATTCTTTCCAGGATGTCTAAGTTTCACCTCGATGATGGTATCGCTCATACTTCCATCGTTATAAACCAATTGAGTCTATAATAAGAGTTTACAGGAATCAATTAAGTTTTATTCAATTAATGGTCTCAAAGTTTACCATCTTCATGTAACCATAAGCGAATCCATCGGGATGATGGAACGATGCTATGGCTCTGAGTTCTCGCGCTTCCGAAGGACTATAACCTCTCTCTATAGTTGAACAAGCCCAACGCCTATTTTTGTCCTAAAATTTATGTTTCCCTTTGTAATTTATTTTAGTTCTTTATTTTCAATATTACCCTTTTATGGATAATAACTGAACGTCCCAAAATACTACGAGGTCCAAACAGCGGAAGAATTGTATCGTTGTAATCTTTGGTGTACATTGTTTGATTATCTAGCGTTCCAAATTTTCCGCTCAAATCGCCCATCTCATATTGATCTGTAGTTCCTTGGTAATGCCTAGGTGAAGTGGCCGGATCAACTTTCGATGGATTCCAATGGTCGTATAACGTTGATCCTTCGCATGGGAACGCTAGATTCTCTTCAACTGGTGTCTTGAAGTTAAAAAAAAAACAGATTATGCAATCAAATTAATAATTCTCTAAAGTTTCACTTACCACATGTATATGATATCCACTATTATCAAGTAAACCATCCAATTCTACTTCCACGTTGGTAATATCATATTCGGTCTGTTGATAAAACTCCAATTTACCACTGACGGTTAAATTATCACCATTGGCGAACCAGTCTTTGGCCACAGCTTTCCGCCTATATACACCTCCAATTCTAGGAGAACACATTCACATGTAACCAACCCTAATTGGTGGATTCAAATTTAACTTACATGGAACAAGCCAGTCTCTCGCCTCGTGCTTTAGGCCCAAAATCGTCGTACATGACAAAAGATTTTCCGATGATCTTGTTGAAACCGGTGAGCGGTAAATTTTGATCGGTAATGAGTTTCCTAGTTATTCTGTCACTATCCACAATTTTACCAGCAATGTCCAAAGTTCCTTGACGAGTTGATAAGTCGCCCATGCGACATACACCGATTGTATCTAAGCTGCAACCCTCGGATGGCGTCTCGTTCTTAAAATCTACCTAAAGACGTTGTGAAATATTAATTTTAATGTGTTACTGAAAATGAGTAAATTACTTTGTAAGGATTAAAAATGGGTCCAGCGCTGAGGCATCTGGCCGTCCAATTGTAGAAATCTTTTCCTGGAGGATTAACGTGTATGGCCCACCTATGATCCATGGAATTATTCAAAGTCGATCCATCCGCGTGCACTAAATACTCGACGAGCATTGTCGTATCCACCCATGGCTCTCCCTTGGGTTGCCTGAACAGAATTCTACCTACTAAAGGATACCGGAATATCACTTGAGCTGTGAATATCTGCTTCTGATACTTCAAATTATCTTCGTAACGCAACACCGAGCCGCAAATCCAGGGTTCCGACGTTATATCCGAATCCGGATACTGGGTGTTTTTGTAAATAACCAAAGACCTATGCACCACAGAATCCTTGCCTATGAGCGGCAAGAAAACATCCCAGTATTTGCCGATCAATTCTTGACTTCCGTGCACCAACTGCGATTCATTGTTGCGTCTCAGCAGTTTTCCCGAAAGATCTCCGATGGCGTACTGATCTTGAGTTCCGTACCCGTTCGGTGGTACTTCGTTTATATTTATTTTATGTGGATTGAAGATGAATTTAGTTGTTAAACACGGATTTCCAGTTTGACCAACAGTTTTCGCCGGACTCATGGGAAGCTCGTGGATCCAAAAAGAAGCCACCGATGATCCGTAAACCACTCTTGTTTCTAAATCACCTCTTGCCGTTGTTATGTTGAAGTTTAAAAACGTCGGTTCAAATCTATTGTGTTGCTTCATCACAATATCACCATTAATCCCACCAGATTGTATCAAAACCCTAAAAAAAATGAAAGAAATTACACGCAAATTGCAACAATTATTTAGGCACTAACTTTGTGACTATTGGATGATCGTAGCGAATTTTCGCGCAGGCCAAGAAACTGTCAGGATGTTTATTCTCAAATATAACTAAAAACAATCTTCTTTGTGGTCCGTTCAAGTCGCTTGGTAACAAATCTAATTTATCGTCTCTGAATAACTGCTTGAATCTTCTCTTATTGTAATCGGTGGAGATCTTGATCTTGCCTATACGAGTGTCTATATCGCCAATAGATTTACCATCCCCTTTGTTTTCAGGGTCGAAGACCAATTGCAATATATTACAATTCGCTTCCTCGCGTTCATTATCAGCATCCAGAATATCCGTGACGTAAAGCTTCCAAACGTGTTCAGTATGATCCAGCATCGTCTTGTTAATTCTCTCAACATTATGCACATGGTACAAATCAGTTACGATCTGCAGATCTTTCCTGTTATCCTTAGTGGAAAACCACCGGAAGAAAACATTTCCAGCAACAGGTGTATGAAACCTAGCAATTGCCGTCTTCTCCGAAGACTTATCCACAAATGAGAGCGATGCGCAAATTTGACGTTGAGTTTCCACATTTTTCAAAAGTAAACTCTTTCCGAAAATGCTAGAATCCGATGTCAGCTTTAAATCTGTTTCGAATTCCGATGTTTGATTATCAGGTATTATCAGATATCCGAGCTTATTCTCAAGACTAATAAGGGATTTCCCCAATTTCGAAGGACCGCAACGGCCATTATCGGAAATCGAATAGTCGACGGGAAATTCTGTGATAAACCACGACCATACTTGGCTCGGATATTGGAGAGTCGCACTTAAGTCTGTTTTAATCACAATTTTATCGTTGAGTTTCTGCTGCACGAAAGAGATTGTTCCGTGAAGTCCTTGCTCCGATATATACGCTTTTAGTTCAATTGGAGACGCAAATGAAAATCCTAACAAAAGAAATAATTACACATAAGTTATTTTTAAAATTTTATAATACTTTTTAGATAAAATAATCAAATTCATTTAATTTAGAGAAAGTTTTTTTTAATATTTTCTATTTTTCAAACAACATCTTTATTTGTGACAATTAATGAAGTTGATGATAATGTTATTATTTTTCTGATAAGAATCGTATTGGACAAATCAAATTTAAATAATTGAATATGCAGGAAGCAGGATTTTAGTGACTCACCAAAAAGTAGAACGACGGAATGTAGCAGTAATACGCCCATCCTGCTTGAGCTACTGAGACATATTCCTCAAGAAACGAATATTGTTGGAATCTTTGCGGTTAAATTGTTAGATTTATAGAACACTTATCGTCACGAGCAGATGGAAATAATCGCAAACATGATTCGACAAGGAAAGTCTGTTGCGCTGAGTGACGATAAATAGAAAGTGTAGGACCTTGGTATGCAAGAGTGGTCTCCGTTACCTCCGGCAAATAAACACGAACGACTGCTACCTGTGTATAAAATAAAATGCGTATAGACGACGATCAAAATACAGTGCCCTTTTGTAATTAAATAATTATAGAACGGTCTTATTTATTACAATTAATTAATTATTCAATTACAATTTATATAATAAAAATTGACGCGCTAGTCAAACTTTTTCGAAGGTTGCAAATAATGCATATAAATCAAACAACTATCTTTTATTATTACCTTGCTGAATGGAAAATTTAACGAGAAGGAATGTATAAAATGTAAGCAAACACTCTTATTCATAACAAGACACAAAGATAGATCAATATTCATTTCATTGTAGCACCTAGTAATATATAACAGCAATACTTGATAACTTTTTCATTGTTCATTTAATAAGTGTTCAAAGTTGTTGAGTTAAAATGTTTCTTTTCAATTAAATTGTGTATAAAGTCCTCCATCAACTACAATACTACGAATAAAAGAATAATGATACAACACTCAAGAAAATGAAATCATTCAACTTTTACACGCAAATTAACAAAATATTTTAGTGGGAACATAAAATGTTGATTATTCAATAGTTCTTTATTTCAATTTTTAACGACAATTAAAGTTAATGGAACAAAAGAAAGGTGAGAATATAAAGTTTCAGTAATATAGTTTCAAAATTAAATACTATTACGAATTTGTTAATAATTCTAAGATGCTCTATAAGTACCTATATTATTAAACTTTGGTTGTAAGTAATTAATATTAAATAAATTTGAAATATTCATAAGTTCGGCAGATTTGGATAACGAGTATAATCCGTTCCACAGTTTCCGGATTTTTACTTGTATAGTCAAACAAACAAATAAACTAATACGATAATGCGTACAATTTATTTTTTCGTTTTGCGAGGTGCTCGTTAAGTGAGGTTCCACTGTATTTACTTTTTTAGAAGTTTTGCAGGCAACCAAATATACTCTTTTGATAATGTTTTAAGATAGTATAAATGATGTAAATTATTGTTAAATTTATACGATAATGAAAATATTTGCATTTGAAACTATTAAATTTAGGTTGCATTGATTATAAAAGAACATTTTCAATTGTCTTTAACAGCGCCAAAAATTCTAAACTACCGTTAACCGTTGAAGTTCGTTGATGTTTGGATAGTTTTGGCGGTATTATCTGTTTGTTGTTGTTTCGGTAGTTCTCAATTGGATTTTTCAAAATTTCATTACTCTTAATTGTTTGTTAACATGGATGAAAATGTTACCCCCATTAAAAAAATAATAGCTGACAAAAGGAAATTACTTAAGCTATCTATTCCTCCTTCACCAATGATGACAAAGCTTGGATTTGGTACAGGTATTAAAAATAAGTTAAATATTTTACAAGATTATTGATTGATATGTTTGTTAAATAGGTGTAATTGTGTATAAGATGGAAAGATCTCCAGTGAAACATACAGCTCAATCACCATGGGCTCTCAAGAAGGTGACAAAGAAAGATAACCCAGAGTTGAATTGTCGTTTGAAGAAGGAGGCAGCACTCCTTCGCAGATTGAGCCATCCAAATATAGTTGGTTATAGAGGTTTTGTGGATACCTCTTCTGGTTACAACTATTTGGCAATGGAAGAATGTTCCACATCACTAGGAGATTTAATTGAGATACGCAGGGATGATGATATGGGTCCATTTTGCTCCTCAAACATTTGGAAGGTTGCTACAGACATAAGCAATGCCCTGAACTATCTCCACAATGATGTTCAAATACTGCATGCAGATTTAAAATCATACAATGTATTGGTTAAAGGAGACTTTGAGATTTGCAAACTTTGTGACTTTGGTGTTAGCCTTGAGTTGTTGCCTGATGGTAGTTTGGATGACAGTAAATTGGAGAAAGATTTTGAGTTCCCTGGTACATTAAGCTGGTCTGCTCCAGAGGTTCTTGGTCTTGATCAAATTGTTACAAGCAAAGTTGACATTTATGCTTTTGGTTTGATACTTTGGGAGGCAATGTCTTTGGAAGTGCCAGTGCTGGATGAGAGCAATGATGTAAGTTCATTTGGAGAATTGGATAGTAGTCAAGAAAGTTCAATTTTGGATACAAGTTATATAGTTAGGCAGAGACCAAACTTACCTGACTATGAATTTGGAAAGGACTACAATGTCATCATTGAAATGTTCTATTTCTGTACTGAAGTTGACTTCCAGAAGAGGCCAAACGCAACGCAACTATGTGCAATTATAAAAGACTCGGAAAGGGGAAATTAAATTCAATTAATAATTATGATCTGTTAAGTATTTTTAAAACCATATTTTTATATATTATATTAGAAACTTATATGTTAAGTTTTATGACTTCGAAATCTCTTCTTGTAGCTGACTCTTCAGATAAAACGCAATTACTGATTGTTTTTTAAGAACATTTCTGATTTTCAAGCTGAAGTATTTCTGAAAAATCCTGTGCTATAATCAAAGAGAAATATTAGATTTATTTATATATAAATATTGTTTTTTTTGTAGTTGATTCATAATCTGAGAGAAAATTAACAATTAGAATCTGTTATGTATTTTTAGAATCATATCTTCTATATTTGAAATGTATATCTTACGTTGTTCGTCAATTAAAATAACTTTTTTTCTAAGCTAAAACAATTTCTTTAATTTCATCTATAATTTACAAATATTTGCCAAAGTATTTCATATCATTGGGCCTGAGCCATTTCTGACATCCACCCAAGTTATTCTGAATAACATATTTCATTGTGTATTCATTCACATTGCATTTTTCCTCTTCTTCCTCTTTAAGTTTCATCTCGTCTAAAATCTCTTGAGAAACTGCCATTGCTTTGAACGGCATTTTCATAGCTAAATCTTCCAAGAAGCGCTTCACCTCAGCGTATTCGCATTTTCCAGCAACTTCGAGAATTATCCTGCCTGCCTTCACCGGCGTTACGTAATGGTCGATCGCTCCTTTTCCACCACCCATCCTCTGGCCCTGGCCTTTCTTTGTCACTGGCTGCCAAGGTGCATCTATCCTCCAAACAGCGAACATGCGATTCGTATCCATTTTACGACCAATAGTCAAACGCAACATTTCTAAATGACCAAACCTTAATCTACCTCCTCCAAGAGCCTAAAAAAATGATCAACATCATTTACAAACATTTGTATTTCCACCTTTCATTAAACTACCATTATTCCATACTGTTTGTGAACCAATTTGTTGTGTATCAATTCAGGACCTCTCATCAAATGCAACTTTTTCTGCATCTTTGGTGGTTTAGTAGTTGGTGGGTATTGTGGCACTTTGTCCATAAACCTAAGTTTAGGCCTATCAGGAATACTAATGTCTAAAATAAATAAGCTTAACATTCCAAGTAGTATTGTTATTCAATCAATTTACGGTCATAGTTCTCTGGGGCTGGGAAGTTTTTGAATGCACATACTTGAATGAGATTTGTTGTACCTCCTATAAATGAAAACATTATAATTTGCAAATTAATTCCATGTCCACTTACTTAAAGGTAACAACTTTGAAGCTAGTTTCTGTAAATTCATTTTAAAAAATATTTTCCCAATACAGAAACAGAAAATACCACTTCAGAATAAGGTTATGTATTTTTATTATGTTGGCGATTCCTATTAAGTTTTCTTGAGTTTCCAACTTTATTTTCATCTATATTCAAAAAGTGTTGATTTTCCGTTGGAGTTGAAAATCGTTTTTTAAAAGTAATTTATTTAAGAAAATGTCTGCGAAATTCATATCTGCTGTGCATGTAGAAAAATTAGGTAATGCGATAAGTCTATAATAATTAATTTGCATAAAATGACCTTACTTTCTTGTGAAAAGTATTTGTTGTTTGAGGTTAAGTTGTTTATAAACAAAAGCAATATTGTTTGCAGGTCACAGCATTCAAGAAATTAGGGAAAGGGCACTGGAAAATGTTTTAACCAAGTTGGATCGAGGATTCCTGTATGACAATGAGCTGGCTCGAACCAAAGAAATTGTCATCAGACTGATTGATTGGTTCAAGTTTCCCAGTTTCAGTTATGAGGAAGAAGTTTTGAAATTGTTGAATCAAATATTGCATGTGAGATTTATTTATATGTTGTTGTTTTTTTAAATTATATTATTACTTAAATTATTTTAGACTGAGAATGGATTAATTTTAATTAATCTTATTGGAACTTCTGTTCTCAAGGAAGATTTTACTCAAATTAAAAATGTATTACCTGTTGATTATCATGCACAAGTTAATCAAATACTTGAATTACTGGACAATAAGCTAGATTATCCACTTGCAGTTCCAGCATTTGACGTTGATGTACCCTTGAGTTACAGAACTGATGATTCTATGCAACTTTGTACTACAGCTACACCCTATGAAGGATTTATACATAGCAGTGCTACAGTGGATTTGGGGTATTAGTGTTATAAGATTTAAGTGTTTCTGGGATATTAATTATCAATAATTTTAAGAGCTTCCAACCCAAGTTACAAAGACTGTTCTGTGAAGCTTCCTTTCTACTTTATGGCTTGGCAACCTCTTGTTGCAGCTGACCGCCATGTGCTAGAATCGATTGAGGACACTCTTAGGAATCCAACTGATCCAACGCAATTGCTTCATTCATTTGATTTTTTTACGCACGTTTTATTACATGATTTTCCAGCTGAAGTATTCCTGCAAAGACCAGCTATAATTAAAGTAATATTAGATTTATATATGTATCATTTTGATATATTACTATACCATTTTTAGTTGTTTCATGATTTGCTGTGGTCATGTCCTTCTTCAAGGATTACTACTGCAATTCTCAAATGCTTGGACAAACTTACACAAACTCTAAACACAAGGATTAAATATTATAGCGATGCTAGCACTCACAATTTGAAGGACAATGTATGAAATATAACATTAATTTTGCTGTTATTAAGTTAAGATATTTTTAGGAAATTTTGAAGGGTGATTCTGTGCCTTCTACTCCTAGTAATTGTTACCTAGATAGCGAGTTAACTAGCAAAGATAAAGAAAACTTTGAAGAAACTGTGGCTTTGATGAAGAAGCAAATGTCTTTACCGCAATATTGTTTGAATACGATTCACTCCGTTTTTGATTATCTTTATATACCTCCAGATACAGAGGATCGGTTTAAGAGGAAGAAATGTAAGGTGATTATTAACATTAATTATTGTAAAATCGCGATTATTGAATTTAATTTTGCAGATCGGTATAAATACCTCTTTGATGCTCTTAAATGGAGTTGTGAATTTGCTCACAGTCTGTGTAAAAAAAGCTATTTGGGATGATGCTGAGGACGAAATCGTTGGAAAGAACATAAAGAGATTGAAAGGCGTGTTTGAGAAGTACGCTGAAGTCTTGGATTTCTTCAGATTTGATCTTGTTTCGCGAGATTGGGACGAGGAATGCCGCATATCGCACCTTCATCTTCTTTACAATTTCGTTTTTCTATTTGATAATATTGTTCCTATCGATAAAAGCGATTCTATATTACCTCGATCTTTGAAGAATGCGATTTCCAGCAGTATTTTGGATCCCGCTTTGAGTAGACTATTTCCCACAATTCATGAAACTCTACTACAAATTATTAAAGTAACTATAGTTTATTCAGTAATTAAGATTTATTTTATGAATATATTCTTACAGGAATTCAGCGGCAATTTTGAAACTGATGCATATCAACGATTTAAGCGGGTGGAAATTATTTGTCAGAGCATGTCTTCAGCTGTGGAATTTCTAAGGAACTGGAAATCATCAACAATCTTACAGAACATCTGTTTAGCAAAAAAGGCTTTACCAAGTTTAGAATTTCATAAGGATAAGAAGTACATCCAGGTTTTCATTGATATTTGCTCAAATAAACTTGCAATGCACACTTTCGAAGATCATGTTTTAAACGACGTTGATTGTAAGTCCTGAATTTTTTTACAAGTTATTTTCAAAATTAGATTTGTAAATAATGCTGTATTTCAGATATTATCAATGTTTTACTCTCGCACAAATTGGATGATATCAAATTGGAAGCTTATAAACTTTGTCATAAACGGATTATAGCCACGGTGGGAGCTAAATTGAACGTTTCCAAATGTAGCGCTCCAGGAAGTCAAATTCTATTTCTGTTAAGACCTAAGGTTTTATTAGAAATCATTACACATGGAATTGTTGATCTTATACCCGAGGTAAGATTTGTTTTAGAATTGAAGATATGTTGCTTCTAAAGTATCTTTTAAGGTTCAAAATTATGCAGAGGATATTTTGCTGCACATTATTAAGAGCAAAATCTTGGTATCCGACGACATATGGCAACGAACAGTTGAAGCTTTGGTACCTAATATTCCTATTCTACTCTGTCATGCAAATAAATCGAATTTAGGTCGGACTATCATGAATCTTTTGGATCCGGATAGAAGTAGAAACCTAAATATTCCGCTTTGCGAGGTAACTATTTTTTTTTAATTTTTATACGAATTATTCTTGTAAATCCACATGTTATTTAGATTATTAGGGGAAACGTTGGTTTGTTGTTTTGTGAGAACAGCCACATCAGAGAAGAAGCCGTTTCTCGACTTTGTTGGATACTGACTTCAACGAAAGAAGAAAATCGCGATCTCTTACCTAGAATTAACAATTTACACGATCGAGGATTGGGATTCGTTTGTTGCGTTGAAAAGGCAATTGATTATAATAAATACAAAGCTACTCAACATTTCTATCAGGTATTTATATTCAAATTAATAATAAAATTGTTTCTATTTTTTTTTACCAATATTTGTTTAGCCTAGTAGTTTGTGCCAAGTTATGGAGCTACTTTCTTCGAAAAACGTTGAACCTGTGATTAGACGTTCTGCAATCACGCAGGTGAGTGTCATGATGGAAGATCCTATGTTACATCGAACATTTTTGGACAGAAACGGCGTGAATTTGCTTAAAGCTATAATGGAAGCAGCATTAACTGAGGATAATTATAAAGATTATCCGGATTCGGTAATTCCTTCCATCAGTATCTTGAAAAACATTTGCCTTTACAATGCTTGCGTTCGCCAAGAGTTGTCCTATGATATTGATGCATACCATTTCATTCTTAGAGGTAAGATTATGCATTTTGATATTAGTAAATTACAAATATATTTATTTTGTAGCTTTATTCATGTTTTTCACCGAGGAACGCGTCAAACAAGATGGTAGCATATTACTACACTTGATGGTCAACGCTAGTTTTGTTCTTGGAAACCCAATAAAAAGCGATTTGTCTTTACCACAAATTATTTTGAACAAAATAAAGTCTCCGTTTCATTGTCACGCTCATTGGAATACCAGCGAAAATTGTCTGGATTCATTGAATGGTAAATTATAAGCTGTACGTATAAATCCTTTAAATAATTTATGAAATTTTGTAGACTTGTTGAGTGATCGATGGACTTTGATTACGCTGCAAATCCATTGGAACATCGAATGGTTCGGTGGCTTAGAGAAATTGGTAGAATTGGACAGAGTTACGTATAGCAGAAACGATAATTTCGACGATGTGCTTAAACTTAAGAATAACGATTTGTTATCGATTAAGTCGACGTGTCTAAGTCATTGCATGAAGCAACATCTTTACTGTATCCAACTTGCAGAATCGCACGAAGTTATCAAAGATCAATTAAATAATTTAACAAAGTAATTAATTTTCGCAAAAAATAAGCATTCTTAAATATTAATTTATATGTTTTTAGCTGCGTAAATCTATATACTTTGTTGAAAGATGATATTTTGGAGGATCTGTTATCAATGCCTTGGGAAAAAACTTTTGAAAAGTTTTTGAATACACCGCCTTCTTCTCCTGAAGACAATTTAATTTTAGCTCAAGTTTTTCAATTTTTAACACTCCTCGTTCCAACATTAAAAGGAATCTGTAAGTATTAAATAATGTGAAACTGCCGCCTCTACGTTGTTTTTTTTTTAACTTTTAGCTGGTTTTGCATGGATTCAAGGAATTTTGAAAAATCGCAATCATATGATATGCGATCTATTATCCTCTGAAGAACCCAAAGAACCAGATACGAAACTGCTTATGCACGGATTATTGGATCTCATTATAACTTGCGTTTGCGCCGAACAAAACTATCTGGATTTTCATATTGTAAATCGAGAGGACGCGAATGAATCGGGTTCGCAGACCTGGAGTTTTTTGGTCGAAATAATTGCCGAGCATTTGAAGTTCAACGATGCTCAACATTTCTACAACTTAGGTAATATAAATTATATATTTAACCGAATTAATTTATTAATATTTTTAATTTTAGCGTATTTAGATCATTTATTGTCGGCTTTGGTGCATTTGACGTCGCATTTGGGTTGGAGCAGATCCAAACCTAAGGAGATTGCCAATAAATTACTAGAGCAACTTTCGCTTGGACTGTTTGAAATGATTGGTGCTTTCCATTGTGGGAAAGGTAGTTCTGCTGCTGATTCTTTGATGGGCCTGAGTATTACTAAACATTTGGTGCTCATTTTGAATCATCTTTTGGGCGAAGTGCAGCATATGCATGTGAAGGTTTGGTTTATAAAATTAGTTAATTTAAATGTTTTGTTTAATTATTGTCTTTTTTTAGAATTGGGAAGAAATGTTCTTGGGTAATGATATTAATGGTCAAAGCACTTTGGCCAGTCTTGGAGCGTTACAACTAAGCAGAGATGTTATCCTGCGCGCCGCTATTTTGCATTTCTTTGCTGGAATTGCTGTATCACCCAAAACAGTTACATATTTAGTGAATGGTAAATATTTATGTAATTCTATCTATCTATATGACCTATTATTTGTTATTTAGAAGTAACTGTAAGAGGAATGAATATTTGGGAATCCAACATCTTAATAGTTTTGGATCACGAGGAAGCTTCAGTTGTCAAAGAAAACGCAGCTATGCTTATGACGAACCTGATCAGTCATGTTACAAACAAAGATGACGATTGCCAATTTCTGAGCAACATTTTTCCATCAACAAGCAGAACGGTAAGTCTTATGAAAACTGCATTTTTTATATTAAATTTATTGTTTGTTAGAATTTAACCAATGGAATTAAAGTTATGTATGATTTATTGGATGGGCATAGCTTTTTCAAAGAATTAGAGATTACATTGAAAGGACTATACTTGGACAAACACTTTTACTCCTATGATCCAACAAATTTTGTTTTGGGTAAATTTTTATTAAATATTTATATGATTTACTAAATATCCATTTTTTTAATAGCCGGATACCAAACAAGTAGAAATGTTATAAATTCTAGTCGAAGTGCGAGTAGTGCAAAATCCTCGTTCGTTTCGACACCTTCTTTTATAAAAACAATTTGCATGTTTATATACAATATCACAAGGTTATCTCCACAAGACGGTTGTTCGATCTTACAAGATTACGGATTATTTCGATTATTTCTAAGGTGCATTTCTATGCCGCACTCAGATATCGAAACCACGAAAGATTTGGCTTTGTACTGTGATATAATCGAAATGAATACTTCAATTTTACAATTGGTTACTTTCTCAGTATCCAAAAACTACTCTTGTTTGATTGCTACATGCAATACAAGAGATTGCCTTACCACAATTGTATCCTTGCTTAATCCTAAATTGTATTGTGAGTATTTTCATTTTGCAAAATGCGCAGATATTTTAAATTTATTTTCTTGCAGATGTAACTTTACCGCAACTTTTGTATCTTAGGAATAAAATGTGGAGCGCTATTTACAATTTGATTGAAGTTATTTTGGAGAACTGCCGAAACGAAGATGGTGTCAAGTCTATGGATGCTGTAGCAGTGCTTTCTGCTATAATTAGTGAAAAGAAGCAAGAAACTTTTATTCAATCTTTGTGCGAGTCTATGTCTTGTCGCTTATCTAATGGTAATGTTGCTTTTCATTATTCTTTCAGAAATGTTTGATTTTATTTTTTGTTATTAGATCTGCAATTATCTGCCATGTCTTCGTTTACTTCTTTGTTGCGTTTGGACAGCGAACAGGAGAGCAATGAATCGAGTTCGATGCAAAATCTGTTAGATTTCACTAAAACTCCAAGAAGTTTTTCGGAAGAAGTATTGGAAATGCCGAAGAAAGATAATAAGCTGACCGTATTGCAGACAGTATACTTTTCGAGCGGAGGAGATGCGACAGTGGAGTATCCTCCAGATACTTCCGAGATGGCAGGCGCTGAGCTGTGCAAGATACTATTGAACATGTATGATTTTGTGACGTTGAAGAATACTTCGACTGTAGGAAAGAAGCGAATTGTTATAACCAACGCTTTGATGAGTCTCTTGTCAATTTCGAGTGAGGCTAAGATGTACGCTCTGAGGAATGGATTCTTGCTGAAGCTGGTGACGCAATTGAAAGAAATTTATGTTAAGCTGAGCTTGGAGTCGGTTGAGTGTTTGCGTAGGGTGGCGGACAAAAAGCGAGTTTGCCCGGTTCTGAAGGAACTGGAATTGGTGTTGAGTTTGTTTACCAATTTCATGGGCGGCCAAGAAAAGGTCAAAATACAGGCCGTGCATTTTGGATTAGCTGACACTTGCCATAAATTATGGATATGGTTTTCGGTGCAGAAGCATCTCATGGTGCATGCTATGAAAATGCTTTGTACTTTCACTACAAAATGTCCGATTGGTGAATAATTTATAGATTTCTTTTGTTATCAAAGCTTTTCAAGCTGATTGTTTCCAGCATGTCAATCTTTAACTTTGACCAGTCCAGTGGCCGGATCCGGACCTCGGAAGGTGACTAGCAATATGTGTCTATTGCAAGCGATCTGCACGATGGTCGGAAAGGAAATGGAAATGATCAGCAAAACACACGACTTGACACTGCTACAGCTAAGTTTCCATCTGTTGCATAACAGCTTGGATATCGTTGATTGTCGGATAGCTTTATCCAAAGTATACTTATTTTCTGATTGTTTTTTTACCACAGTAAATCATATTTCAGTGCGGTGTCTTCTTTCAGAATAATTTTCTGCAAACTGTGACGCGCCTGCATCCGGCCATAACGAAGCGACAGAAACCTTGGGAGAGCATCGAAACGCTGTGGCTGGAATTTCTTAACGAATTCACATCTTACGTCGAAGGTCAAACGTGCGTCGCCAAGTTAACAGAAGTCTTCGAACTTCTGATGACGTTTGCGTCCAGTAGTCGAGGAAACAACAAACGGTTGGCCTTAGAGGTGCTCAAAAACATATCGTTCTATCAGCCGAACAGGCCACGATTATTAACATCTGGTAACGTTTCGATGTTTCATTCACTTTCTTTTACGTTCTTAATTAATTGTTTTACGCAGATGCTTTTGTCAATATACTCTCCAGCAAGTTGAGCTCTGGTAGTCAGGAGGAGAAGAATTTGGTGGTGCTGATCGTCTGGTCTTTAGCGGCGAACAGTCAGAAGGCTAAGCTTGTATTCAAGTGCGCTCACATCGACGATAAACTGCAGGAGTCTCTGAAGTTAGCCAGGCTCTCTCTGGACGAAGTCGATCCCGAAGACCTGAAACGCATGCAGTTCGTTTTAAATCTATTGAAGGAGGATAAACGTTAGTTTTATATACTTTAATTTTTTATATTGTTATATATTTATTTATAGTAGTATTTTCTAAGTTTTATAACGAATATAAAGTGTCTTATATTTTTTTTCTTTAATTAACTTACGCAACAATTCTTATATAAATTTCACATACAGTAATGCCTCGTATAGTGCGGTTAATCGTACTGCTCGAAACCATTGCGGGAAATTGATGTAATTAGTAAATAATTTGAATAGAAATATAATTTAAGGAAAAGTTATATTGAATAGACGCACTAAGAGAAATTGACATAAAAGTGGTTTTTACATAAATTTGGAGTGCGTCTTATATTCGGGTGTGCTTAATAGTTTAAAGAAAATATGGTAACCGTTTTGTGATGGCGTTATGAGCTATATCGTGGTATAATCAAGAGATGCGTTGAGATGAGTCCGTCGGATAGAGACCGAAAGAAAAAAATGTGGAGTAGGCGTGACGAGAATGGAGAGGTTGATCAACCAAGTCACTCAGTCCTGGTGCTCCTTTTTAAATAATAGCGGCGAGCTAGCAGTTTTATGCGCGCTATTGCAGCAGGCGAACGCGCGTTTCGTATGGAAAGTCGATCTGTTGTTGTGTGCTGTTGTGCGTCTGGTCCTGTGTGATATACACATACACACATATACTCACACTCTTCGGCTTTGATCTGTCTGTCCCCCCGTTTCTATCTCAGGACGTTTTTTGGACGATTTGGATTCTTTTGTGTCTGTTCCGATTTCCGAAAAAGGGCTCTAACCATCCCCGAATGAGTGCGATGGCCGAGGTACCCACACATTTTCCACCCCAGACGTACTCCTCGTCGTTCTTCCTCAACGCCATTCCGGAGGTAAAAAGAATCGATCTATCTAGAGGCCTTTGCTTCTTAAAGGTTATGTTTTTGTTTTGTTCCTCGTCTATTTCCATTTTCCTGGCCTCAAATCGATTTCCCGGAGCACTGACCTACATCCTGCACACACACGTTCCACATCGGCGACAGAAAACGCCGGGGAAAAAAAATGCGCTTTAATACCCTTTTTTTTTACTTAACCAAACCAACAGTATCATTGTCATCATCTTTTTTTAGTCGCCCGCAAATGAATCTCATTGTAATCTAAAATAATTAACTGCCAATTAAGAAACTGAAAAAGCCTTATCGTTTGAGACTAACGTAATCTATAAATACATTATCAGTATTCTGTGGTTTTAAAATGCTCGTTCTTTAAGTATACAATAATAACATTATTGTTAAGTAATTATTTACTGTATAATTTAAAATTTTGAAAACTAACTGTTGTTAATTCAATTAACGAAAAAGTGGAAAAATTATTTTGTGTAAATGCTAAGTGGCGATTGATTTTAGTTTATTCTTTTAATTCAATTCAATACACGAAAAGTACATTATTTAATTTAAAATTTATTTATAGTTTACATTTAAATGTATAATAGTTGTTGCGTGATTAAAGTTCGTAATGTCCTTACATTGAATTATGGTGGATGAGTAGGGTCATTTTATTTTCATTTATAAACTGTTATAAATAAATTATATCTGAAACCAATATAAACGAAATCTTACAAAACATTGAAATAATTTTTTTTAGTATACAATTTTTACCGTAAATTCTACAATTCGTAGAATTAAAATAAAACAATACTAAGCAAAATTGAAAAAAAAACTTCCTTCTAATAGCTTTTTTTTAACTAATAGTATTAACATTATTATTTGCTTTTAATTGTAGTATCTAATGAACAGCAAACAAATCACATTTATTAATAGAAATTTATGATAAAATATTTAACAATAAATTACGTTTGCTATTATTTTTTTTTTCGATTCTTGTGACTTGGAACCTCAATCATTACGTAATATCATTTCAAAGCATTCAATGTTAAATTTATTTGTGCAGTACAATGATTTTATTGTTATTAAACTGTTAAATAAACAATGCAGCAGTCCATTGTTTGCGAGGAGAGAAAAACTGTTTTCTGCAAATGCGAGCGAATGGAAATATTCGAAGATTTAATTTATAAAAAAAAAAGAAAATAGCGATAAATAATTACGTTTCGAATGTTGGTTTTAATGGAAGACATTTATTTTCGCTAAGACATAATTATAAATGCGAAGAGTTATTGACTCCATCAGGATGATCAGCATCTCGGAATAATTTATGAACGCGATTTCAGAACTTTCCATCGGACAGCAACGTTTTCAACATGCATCCTCAAATTAATCGGTTTTTCTTTATTTTTTCTACCTCTAACATTGAGATTGTTGACGGTTTTATTTACTTCAATCGTTTACGTCGTACTGTTTATTTATATTGAGTTACAAATAATAATGTAGTTTGCTACCCGAATTGTTCGTTAACTGATCCTAAAAGTAACTTCAAGTTGTTCGTTAACTGAATATTACTGAATAATAAAGATGTTTGCATGTATAAAAAATAAGTTCTCAACAAACAGTTTCCTAGTATTTCGATTATCTAAATATTTGGAAGTTGTAAAGTGGAATCACGTACTTCCCGCCATTTATTATGTATTGAATCATGAAAATATACAAAAAAATCTCCAAATTTTATAAGAAATAATGAAAATTATTAAACCTACCATTAAAATTATTTTTTTTTAAGTAACTTATTTTTATATGAATAATTGCTCCATAAAAAACACAATAAACAAACATTATGAAAAATGGACTTTACTGCGTACTATATATATTTTTTTTTTCCGGTTAGTTAAATGTGTTTCGTTCTCATCGTTTAATTAGAAACATTTTCATTTGGTGTAAACATTAGGTTTTACGTCATCCGTTAAAAAAAAATCACAAAATATCTTCATAAACTTGTCAACGCTTCTAAGGAGAGAACGGATTATTTGTCTCCGGCCAAGATTGCAATGTCAACGAAAGAAACATGTTTTGGTTTTAGGAACCCTAACCATGCTTAATACCTCAACAACGTATTATACTAATCAGGTTTCTTTCTACTTTCAATTGGATTGTATAATCTTCTACGATTTGCATAATTGTTAATGAATTCACACATACACACAAAAAAAAACTATGATAATGCGATTACATAATAAACGTGTTTGTGAAAGGAATATGTTTTAATTGATTATAAAGTTGAATCATTGAAGCAGGTTTAATATTGGATGGATTATCCCCCCATAAAGAGCGCTGTTTCGATTCCAAATGCTTATTCAAATTATATATTTATATGTTGCTATATTGTATGCATCTCATGTATTCTTTTGTGTTGTGCTGTTTTAGGATGACAAAGTAAGCAGGTTTAATGTTAAGCGTAAAACACTGCCGTCGCAGGATTCCACGCCGATCCTGGACTGCCTCATCAAAACAGTGAGTACAGATGCAAGCTATTTCTTTTACATTTTATTTTTGCAGCTAGGATGAAGAGGAATGCGTTTGAATTGTGCATAGATAAGAAAAGGTGCGGCATCCATCAATTATTCATGGCATCCGTCGATTCATTTTTTTCCATAGAAACGAATGTTTATTTGAACGGGCGAATCTAAACGCTTCTCAATAATAATCCAACAAACTAAGTCGTAAATTAAGATCGTTAAATGTATTTCATCTCACGATTGTGATTACATGATTAGTTAAAGTCAATCATTTATTCTTCGGCAATAAACTAAACGGTGATCTGTAAACCTCGTAACAACGTCACTTAAGAAGAAGGTCTGCTGCAATTTCAATTAAACCAAATGTATTTGTATGCCATCAATGATTTCTACGCTCAAGATTTAATGCACGTTTATTTCTATGCACTGGATCATATTAATCATTTTCATTGCCGTTTCCTGCAAGAAGAATGCGCTCAGAATGCGATTCGTTTTATCCTTTTATTAATTCGCTGGGTAAAGCAGATATGTCACTCACTTAAAACTCGCTTCAAGTGCGTGAGTTTACAGAATGTATACTTAAGAAGGCTTTGGAAATATCCCTAACCGCATGTTTTGTTCATTTATGTATATTTATCTAGAACCAATTACTAAATCGCAAACACTAAATCTTATTATTGGCGCCGAACATTAAGCAATTTTATTGAAGTTTATGATAAAGAGGAAATGACGAATAACATTTATTAGGAATTGTGGCAAACATTTATAGTTCTTGGAACTAAGTTACTTAGAAATGCTTAAATAGAGTTTTCCGAAAAATAGGTCAGAAGTTTTAGAAGAATTAGAAAAAGACATCAAAGAAAATTGAAATCAAGTTATGCAGATGTCTCGATATGTTTCGAAGATGAAAAGAATTTCAGACATTCATTGATTGTAGAAAATTATGGGTTTTGAATGAAAGATTTAGAAAACTTTGTTAGCAACAAATATATGAAATAATATATCCATAATATGTTTATCTTTGAAAACAAAGTTTCACTTAACGAAGTAATTTTGTTAATCGAGGTATGACTGTATTGTAAGTCTCTTTATAATCGTATTCTTACCAAATTTAAGTGAAAATTCTTCATCTAATAATTTAATTAATGCAAATGTTACTGCAGCCAATTCTATAAATTTGTTGCTTGTCCTGGGAAAACAATGGAAATCGAAATAATGCTGAAGATTGAATTCAATGAAGTTTTATTCTTCTCTTCTATAGAAAGAAACTAACTTGTTTTCTTATTCATTAAGTCAGAAACAATGATGAAGATAGGTTTCAAAGACGTTGATGAAGAGTATTTTTGACATTTATTGATTGTAGAAAATTATGGTTTTTGAGTGGAAGATTTAGAAAACCTTGTTAGCTACAAATATATGAAAGAACGTATCCATAATATGTTTGCCTCTGAAAACCAAGTTTAATTTAACAAAGTACAACTGCACTGTAATTCTATTTATAATTGTATTCGTACCAAATGTTAGTGAAAGTTCTTCATCTAATAATTTAATTAATGCATCCATTTCTAGAAGTTTGTTGCTTGTCTTGGGAAAACAAATGGAAATGGAAATATTCCGCTGAACGGACTCCTTTTCCGTAGTAAGAAGAAGCAAATTGATTTTCAATTAGCGACGTAGGTCTAACCATAAATAGGATTTTTATTTTCTTGATCATTCATGCGTTTCGCGCAATTTCGAAAGAAAACATTGGCTTTCGCCGTCTCCGGCTCCCAAAACAATACGGAATGATTTATTGTAACAATATTTTTCTTTCGCGACATTGATTTAGTCGTCAAACAAAGGCAAACATCAAATAAGACACACTAATTTCGGTAAGAACTCATGATTTACTACTTCGATCTACGCTTATTTTTTTTTGTCTATGTTTCATATAGAATAACGGTATTCGCAGTCCCATTTAGTGGATAGATATTGGTTACTATGTTACAGTAGGATAATGACTATTATTTTGCAAATTGTAGACATATTTGTCATTTTAGGTGTAGAATTATCTATAGATTGTTATTCATTAAATTCAAAACAATGTAGAGATAATAGTTTTTGATATATAAATACTATTGACAAATTGTCTTAATTTGCAAATTTATGCATTTCTATTATTTATTACTGATTAAGGTCAAAAGTGTATTATAGATGGAATTGTCTACTTGTCAATTAAATGTTTAAGAAAAATAATCTTTTGTTATTTTTAAGTTGAAGATTGAATTCAATGAAGTTTCAATGGAAGTTTGATCTTACGCTTTTGTAAGATGTCAAGTTTAGTTAGATTAACTTGTTTAGATCAATGAAAGATTTAGAAAACATTGTTAGCAATAAATATATGAAATAATATATTCATAATATGTTTACCTCTGAAAACAAAGTTTCATTTAACGAAGTAATTTCGTTAATCGAAGTACGACTATACTGTAATTCTATTTATAATTGTTTGAACTTAATTAAGTGGATTACAGTTATCTCCAGTGCAATTCAAGGAAAGTATGATTTTATTCTTCAAAGGGATTAAAATAAATTTTAGGAAAATTATTTACTTGAAATTGTATGTAAATTAACAATTTTAAGTGTTACAACATTCTTAGTTTATTATTTATTGAGTTCAAAATGGTCATGAGGTTTCAATTCTATCAAGATTTTAATATTTACAGTTTTATTAAATGAAAGTTGAAACTTTCAGTAGGAATAAAATAACATTTAGCAAAACTTTTAATTTGCAATTTTGTTATTTAAAATGAAAATTCATTAATAGTTTATTTATTCAATAAGCTGAAAATAGTTCTAAGCTTTTAATTAAATGAACATTATAACATTTGTATTTTTTTTTCTTCAATGGAAGATGAAGCAGATGTCTTCAGTAGGAATAAAATAATTTAATAAAATGACTACTAACTTGAAGTTTTATGGAGATCTACTTCTTTAGTATGAATGAAATTACTTTTTGTTAGAATGTTTAATTGTAATTTAAGATGAAGATTGTACTATTTGCAGATTCATTCAATAGAATTTTAAACATAGTTTGAAGTAGAAATAAAATAACATCAATTTTAACTTGAAAATTTTCAATAGTTTCGTATTCATTAAGTTAATAAAATAACATTAATATCATGAATAGTTTCTTATTCATTAAGTTAGAAACAATGATGAAGGTTGAATTCAATGAAAAATCAATGAAAGTTTAATCCTACTCTTCAGAAAGAATAAAATATCTTTTCAATTTTATATAAATTAAACATTCGAAGTAAAATCATCAACAGTTTCTTCAAAAAAATATTGATCACTGATTTCAATGAACTGTTAATAGAAGTTTCATTCTAATCTTTAATAAGAATAAAATAACATTTAGGAAAATGATTAACTTGCAATTTTATGTGGATTAACCATTAGAAGTGTAACATCATCAATAGTTTCTTCAAAACAATATTGATCACTCAATTCAATAACGAGTTAATACAAGATTAGTTCTAATCTTCAGTAAGAATAACATGATTAACTTGCAATTTTATGTAGGTTAACCATTAAAAGTGTAAAATCATCAATAATATATTATTGATGTTAAGTTCAAAATAATGCTGAATATTGAATGAAGAGTTGATAGAAGTTTCATTCTGCTCTTCAATAGAAAGAAACTAACTTTTTTCTTATTCATTAAGTCAGAAAGAATGATAAAAATTGAATTCAATATCAAGTCAAGTTTAATGTTACTCTTTAATAGGAATAAAATAACTTTTAGGAAAATGATAAACTTCAAATTTTATGTAGTTTAACCATTAGAAGTGTGAAATCATCAACAGTTTCTTCAAAAATAATTGATGACGATTGAATTCAATGAAGAGTTAATAGAAGTTTCATTCTACTCTTCAATAGAAAGAAAGTAACTGCTAAGAAAACGATTAACAAGTTTAAGTAGATTAAACATTTTACATGTAAAATCATCTATAATTAAATTAAAAATAGTCCTTATAGTTTTAAGTCTATTAATAACTTTATAAAACTACTATTATTGAAATTTTGCCATTTTATGTATAAAATATTGAATTGTGTTGTTATTCATGAAAGTTCAAAACGTTCAATTCAATGAATTGTAAATCTATTTATATCGCGTTCAAATCAATATTCGAACAGCTACATTTCAACTTCTAATTGATGCATTTACAAATTGAAGCCGTGTTCTTGTTATTTCGTTAACATTAATCTGCATGAGTGGCTTTAATATCCCGAAGTGGTCCACGCAATCCGCTCGCACAATCCACACATGATGTTTTCATTTACGATTCATTAATATCGACTCAATCATATTTTCGAATTGGCATTAATAACTCACATTCCTTTACTCTGTGCATGTATACTATATACATACATACAAGCCGTACTTGCGTCATCGCCTTAATGTATGACCTTTCATTATTTTTATTCCCTCTTAATTTATTTATTTATTTATTTATTACTATTATCCTCTTCGGAATCACCATTGTAATATCTCTTTTTATATTGTTATTGTTATTATTATTATTGTAGAACCACTTTGCATGCAGCAAAAACATCCTACGTTTACTTGAAAACTTGGTGATAACCAGTCTTTAATTTATTAACATTTATCGTTAAATATTTGCAAAAAAAAGATCAAAACTGTGCAATTTCGAAGAAATGTTTCATTAGCTTTCATTTATTTACTATTAATTAATTTCTAATTACTGTATATTAATTTCTAATTTCTAAATATTTGTACACAAGTTTTAATGATGTAGCAGGCGTGCAATCTGGGACTTCTCTTCTCATCGTCACTCGTTAAACAAGTCATTTTTCTTACAATTCATTTTGCTCGTTAAGCGAAGTGTTCGTTATGCGAAGTGCTCTATAAGCGAGGTTCCACTGTATATTAATAAATAAAGTTTAAGAAAACAAACAATTATTTGTTTGTTCGCGAAATGAAAATAAAATAACACGATAAAGCGAGAAATATTCAATCAATTTGCGAAACGCGTTTCCTCGTCGAATTCCTGGAGTAGATCCGTGTTTATATGAGAATTACTATTAATTTGCAGGCTAAAGAAATATGTAGTGCGATACGCTGAGTTCTTCTTTTGTGTGTGTGTGTATGTGCAAAATCCATCCGATGCACGAGAATTAATTACATAATTTATGAAGCATGCTGCACGAGAGATCCTCGCGTCATGGAATATTTATTTACCAAGTCTCACTACGGGCAGATGCTTTTTTGTATTTGTTCAAAAGAGCCCACAATAATGGTTACAATCAATATTTATGGATCGGTGTTAATTCCATACGAACATACATCGGGCATATAGATCAAACATTGCCATAATCCTGAAAGAGTTACGATCTCGAAGGAAAATTGATTTAGATTAATAAGTAATGCGAATAACTTATTTGGATAATGTAAGGAAACCACAAAGTTGCAAGTTGAAAACCGCGAATGACCTTCGAGTTGCCATGATATAAAGAATTGATCGAATTCTCTTAGTTTTTTTTAGAACAAGAAAAAGGTGCTTATCACTAGAAATTGAATAAATCGCAGTTTCATTTTTTTTCCGTATTTTACAGTTCTTTATGCGAAAGTGTGTATTTATTGTACGAAAGTATCGCGTTTTAAATTTATCACACGTTTCGGAGAGAACCGAACATCTGTTCGGGACAAACATAGTTGTAGCTGATAATCCGTGTGGTTAGGATCGTGCTTCAGTTATATTCGTAAAGAAGAGGCATATAGCAAGTGGAGAAAGGTTTGTCCATTGTTTTAAATACATTCATAAAGACGCGCGCTACAAAGATATGTTAAAATTAGATTGCTTTAATAGTTGCAAAATATTGATTTGACATATGCAATTATATTATTAGCGAGTACTTTAATCACGAAAACAAAGTGCGTATGATTCATTAGTAAATTAATCTTTGAAACAAAACAAAAAAATATGCAGCGCTCTGAAACACTTTTGCTGTACGCGCGTCTGGTTGCATACGATGGTAATCCAGCTTTGGACTTATTTATATCATTCTTGCAGATGCTTCAATGTAAATGGATATTCGTAACAGCGCTCTTGGCTTTTCTGCTGGTCGATGCAGTGCACGGGACGACGTGCTCGGATCTTGTAGATCCGATGGTAAGGACATTCTCTGACTTAAGCAAGTACCAAGGGAACAAGCAAGCATTTGACCCGATGAACACCGGGTCGGCCGGAAATTACGTGCAAATCGATAAAGTCAAGAGTAATTTGGAGAAGAACGATTTCATCTCGCACCAATCTGATTACATTATGAGGCTGTACTTGGGCGGCAAGGGAATCGAAACCATGGAGAGTCAGACGTTCAATCAGTTGCATTGCTTGAGATACTTGAATTTAGAGGACAACCAGCTGACTGAGCTTCCCGGCGACGTGTTCAATGAACTGGAGATGATGGTCCATCTGAATCTGAGCGGAAACAATCTGGACAATCTGCCTGACGAATTGTTTGGTACGATGCATCGTTTGAAGGATTTGGATTTGTCGCACAATAAAATAAGATCGTTGCGCAGACACCTCTTTGAAAATCAGACGAACCTGCAGCATCTGAATATTAGCCATAACCAATTGAATTTTCTTCATTTGGAGGATTGGAAGTTTCTGGACTCTCTGGCCATAGTTGATTTGTCTTTCAACGTTATCCACAGCATAGAATTTCCCACAACGTTCTTCTTCACCGATCTAACCAGAATGTTCCTCAACGATAACCAATTGAAGGATCTTAACGTATTCTCGATGAGGAATAAGATGCCGCATCTGGTTCTTCTGAGACTTGACAACAATCCGTTCGCATGCGATGATTTGGCTTACATCCTGAGAGGTTTAGACGATAGTAAAGTCAACTACGATGGTAGAAACAAGACGATGAGCAACATAGGCGGCATAGATTGCGTAGACTTCACGGACGCCGTGCTAGCAACGTTGACTCCAATGGCAGAAACGAATGACAAAAATGACAAAATCATGGAACACGTCCGTGAAATGATGACGCAAATCAATGACCTGAAGATAATCTTGTTTCTGTTCATTATAATATTCTGCATTGCAATGTTGTTTATTTTCAAGCAGAGTAGCCTTACCCTTGGGTCATGCAGAACTTTGCTAACGAGATTCCAACGGACTCGATCCAGCGATGCGACCATCGAAAATTTAAGACTGATTCCATAGGAATATTTTATACGTGTATATATTTGTATTTGTTTTTTATTATTGTGATTATTTTATTATAGTTTCTAAGAAACTCCAACAGACAAAAGTTTTTTATATATATATATTATATTCTACAGATAGATTTTCAAATAAAGTCTATTTACTATATCAAAACTTTGCATCTCTTCATTTCCTTTACGCAAATGTAATTTGATTTTGATTTATAATATTTGACATTTCTCTTGTTGCAGTTTCTATTTAGAAACAGGGACGATGTTAAGGATTCCAGCAAATGCAGTAACGGCGAAAAGGTAAAATAAAATACAATTTTTATTAGCATTTGCTTCAATTTAAATTCAAATTAGAATAAAAAAAAGACTTAAGTCAGAAAAGTTCAAGATGGCGGGTGCGGTTCGAGCATTGCTCACGAGATGGCCTCACTGTATCGGATTCTTGTATTACTTTACTTAAACATTTTAATAAAGATATAAAGTAATTTCCTTTAACTACTTGTTTAAATACAATTCGTTAAGCGAAATTGTGTGGCAAACAAATCTTAGCACAACGTCAATAAGATTGCATATGTAATTTCCTTTATACTCTAAAATTTATAAATATTTATTAAGTTAGGACACAATTCATCCAGTCAATGAACTATAAAACTTTAGTTCTGTTTTATTTATTAATATTATTATATTTAAAAATCCCAATCATCATTGATTTTTTTTTTGCGAAATGCATAATAGTCCTTTGGTTTTGTTATAGAAAATAAATATGCAATATTTTGATACGAAGGCCGATTCTGATTTATTGGCAAACCGCAAACCTACGTATCCCCATCATGTCCTACGCAATGCGAATTAAGTAACATTCAAAATATTTACGTCGCACTTCTCGTCCACAAAGTGTCATTATCCTTCTTGCAGTTCTTTCATAAACACGACCCACGTAATATTTACATCAATTGGACGGTGCAAAAAACTGCAGAGAAACAATAATTAATCATATTACTTAACATTCGTGTATTCTTTCATTAATTTATAAAAGTTTACTTAATTTGATTTTGAACCCGTTGACCTATGAAGCCGTGTATCTTAGTGTTATATGCTTTTAACATTTCTAAAAGGAATCCGGAATATACACTAAAGTTGTTTTCGATAAATCACCGTCTTTAATTTGCCATTTTAATATAGTTTAAGTATATAAAATAAACAAAAAAAACGATTTTATTAGAACCAGTCGAATTAATTGTTACATTTAAATCGTTTTATTTCCTCATAGCTTATGAGTCAAAATCTACAGTTAGAAATATAGTTAATTCTTAATATAAGTAAAATTTTAATAACAATTGTATATATAATTATGCATTTTATAACTTAGAAAATTCGCTTTATATATTAAGAGTTTTCGTTATATATTACTCGTAATAGATAACGATATTTGTCATTAAATATAATTTAGTTGTAAATATTTAATATTTTCTAAAGTGGTTTGTAAAGCGAAATTTCTATTTTAAATCAGTAAAACTTAGAGGTTTTATTTTCTCGTAATATGCGAGTGAATCGAATAATTATCAACATTTATTATACATAAAAACCTTGCATAGTGCGGGTAATCGGTTTCCGGACAGTTTGAAACTGGTCTAATCTAATCTACATAAAAAGAGATTTGACTCTATAAAGGGAAAAACACGATCAACACTATTATTTTAGAATTTATTTTGTCAATTAAAAATTAGTTTGTTTTGAAATTTTCTAATTAAACCGGACTGATCGAAACCTCACTATTGCTTTGTAATGAACTTAGAAACATAATTATTAGTATTTAAATATTACGAGTGTGTTTGTAATTAAATAATAGCAGAAGAATTCGAATTGGTAAAGACATTATTCTTAATTTAAATCTCTTAATTTTTTGTTGTTCTTTTTGAACGCAATGAATCAAATGTGTTTTTGATGTGAACGTTTTGTTTTCGCTCGCTTTTCTGGTTTCTTCGTCTGCAGAAACTAATTCCTTGTGCAATAATCGGTTGCGTGAGCATTTGCGCAAAATATTTGCCCAGATCCATGCAATGCTTGTATGTGGATTCAATATACAAAAACGTGCATGCAGATGATGGCGTTAGAGAGCAGCAACATGCGCCTCCAAATGCACACGGCGTGTTCTTGTCTTTGTCTATCTGAGTGTGCTAGAGCTGTACGTGAAAAGACGGGTTGTGCTTCGAATTTGGGGCAGCGACCTAACACATGGAGGTCACCATTGACGTCAAACCATAGCCACATTATGATCGTTTTCAAAAGCATTTTCTCTCTCCTCCAACGGAAAGTTACCAGCACATTTTTCGATATGCCATTCATTCCACAACCATCGGGCGACATGCACACACATACGAGAGTTCGCCGATCTTCGAGAACCCTACAAAAAAAAAACTCTTCCGTTGAAGATGCAAGCCAAGATCAAACATCCATTACTTCTTTTCAGCTAAACATTCTCAAATAATTAATTTTTTTGTTGGTTAACTAATACAATTAAAATGCGATTTACCGAAACTTAAAGAATTCCATTAAATTTTTTGTAAATACTTTTTTTAATTTAAAGAATTCCGGCTGCACGTGTTCCCTAAGCGTTGCGCAAACGATTGCTCAAAATCACAAATGCAAAACTTAATTAAGTTTTGGTTTAAGTAAGGCGTTTGTGCAAGAATTGCGGATTTTTTTTGTTGTTGTTGTTAACATTGAATTTAAGGTATTCTCGGCGTACGCTCGTTTTGTTTGCGCGGATGTTAGCAAACAGGAAGATTCGGCGTTGGAATCCGATCCATAATTCAACAGGGCGGATTTGCAATAAATGCGGAATTTCAATGTGTACGCGACGGAACGTTATTTAATGCGCGTCATGTTATTGGTACTCGTTAATAAATATGTAATTGCTAATAAAAATTCGCGAGGCGAATGCTCAAGGGTATCATTACAATGTGAACATGGCGTTGGAATCAAAAAAAAAAAAAAAATAAAATCATATTGGTTGTCCGAAGAATCCGTCGTTCTTCGGTAGGATATGATGAGTATTTTGCATATACCCCTCGCTTTTGCTAATGCATTCGGAATGATGTTGTCGCCTTCGGAGTCAAGTTCGCATCGTTTGTATTACACGCACACACAGTCATAAATATCCATCAGCGAAGGTTGCTTTTTCAATTAAATATTTGCAATTTTACCGTAAATCCATTTATTATTTGTCTTTCCTCGCTTCTGATTTTCTTTTCTATTCAATTAACTGCGTGCTTTTAAAGTAAACAATTTGTTAAGAATATATTTACTTTAAGTCATTGATGTATAGTGAACTACCTTAATATTTATTTATCATAATTAATTGATTATTCAAGGTGTTATTTCTTAATATTTTAATTTAAATAAAATAATATAATATAGAAATTATGCAAAAAGGTATTTTCAGTTTTTATAATATCTTTTGTACTGATTTATTATAATTAAATGTTAAAAAAACACTTCCAATTTTTTAAGAAATTATTTACTTTCAGACAAATTCAGTCGATTTATATGGAAGATAGTTTCCTGAGAAAAACATCTAAATAGAAATTGTAACTTTTTGAATGTAAAACCGTGTAAATCGAAAAGTATGCATAATTTCGTTGTTTATTAATTATGAATTTTTTAAATTTTTTTAAATGTACATAAACAAAAATATTAAAAGGCAAAAAAATGTTCCTTTTTTTTAGAACGTGTAAAAAATGTACCGTGTAAAACGAAGGATACGTTATTTTCAATATTTATTTTTAATTTATTTTGCTTTTAAACCGTCTAAATCTGATAGATCCACCAAAATATTAGATTTAATTCATTATTCAAGGTTTTATTTCGTATTTTTTTTTGAAGAAAGAAATAAAAAAAATCTATAGATTTAATATTTCCTTTATAATAAAAATATTATATAATACAAAAACGCATAAGTTCATAAACAGTGAAAACATTGAGTGGTTTCTTATGTATTCTGCGAATCTACAGGTTTGTGAAAGTTTCTCGTGCTTTCAAGTTTTAAATGCATTACAATACGAATTGTAATTTTGCTAATTGTCATTTTGGATACGTGGATATTTGAGAGAAATTGGAAAAGTTCAAGAAATATACTTTTTTTTAGTTATATCATAATTATTTTCTGGTAATGTCTTACTATCTGGATGATTTGTTATTATAAAAGGTTTTCGGTCAAGCCTTTGGTACATTGAGTCAATCTTTGTTAACACTTTACTTTACTTCAATTAAATAAGTCTCATTTAAAAGTCAAAATATTCAGATAAAGCAATGATTTAAGAAAAAAAAACTATAATTAATTTCGAATGTATACTATGTAGATTTGACATTGTTTGTTTGCTTTAGTGAAACAGGACTACCAATCGAGGTCTTTTAAAATTGATATTATCGTTTAATATTGTGTTTTTTTTTACTTTTACTAAATAGTTGATGAGAATCTCTCTTTGGAAATCCCACAAAAAAAATATGGAATTGTTTTGTGGTGCTTCACCATGTGCTTCTACAGTGATTTACTTTAATTATACACAAAAAAACAATATTGTGGTGGCGATATGCAAATCTTGATATGAAGTGGTTTTTTAGAAAATTGTTTGTCTATAGTAAATCCATTAGAGAGAGCTTTGTTAAAGAAATATAAGGCCATTTGATCTGTAATTATAAACATTCTAATAAGTATTTAGAAATTAAATAAAAATTGATTGGGAGTGGTTTTTATAACTTATTTTCAGTTAATAAACAAAGTTTTATATTAAAAATACGAAATAAAAGGAGATATTTTTTTTAAATTTAAAATTGAAGCATACTGTAAATACTGTAAATCTAGCAGAAGGAAAGGTCAAAGTTTTGTCTTTAATTTGCATGTTTAATGATCTACTTAGTATTCGTGGTTATTGAATAATTAAATAAAAAGTGAAGTTGTGTATAGTAGAAGAAGTAAAGATTCGTTTTTCTTAATTAAAAGAAGTTATTAATGAATTAGAATTATTTATATATTTTTATGTCGAACGTTATAAATCAAAAGATTATTTAATATGTAATTACAATCTGCCAAATACTGGCAACAAGTAAATAGTTTTGAAACTTTAACAAAATATAACAATGAGCCATTGGAAACTTTCCAAATTACATAATATAATATAAATAATATTAATTTTTAATTTAATTTAACTTCTAATTTTAAAATCTATAAGGGAGATCAAAGGTGTTATATAATAAAACACAGTTTTTTTTTAAATTTAACAATTAATTATAGAAAAACT